ACGGCAGCCCGGAAGGATCAGCTAGACAGGGGCGGGGAGGGGCTGGATGTAAGAGTCTCAGCGATTGGCCAGCTGTGTAAGCTTGTCAGTTATTGGCCACGCGCTCGCGATAAGGCCTAGAACCGCAGGCTTCCTTTGCTACCGGACTCGGGGCCAGCTGCGGAGTCTGGAGCCCGCTGTGTGGCGGGGCTGGAGCCAGCAGGCGGCACAAAGCCCCCCGCAGCGTGGCCTCAAAGCCTTCCCAAATTATGTAATGGCGTGTGACATCACGGCCTAGGCAAGGAACAGCAAGGTCCTGGAGGCCACATTTAAGCTGCTTGGAAAGAGACTGAAACCCAGGACCTCAATGGTGGGCTGGGTCTACCCGGCATGATCTCGCGCAAAAACTTGCTGCCTGTCTACACTGGGTGCAAGTTCTTGTGCAAGTAAACTGGCGTTTTAATGTGTGAAATCAGGGCTTCCTGCGCCAGAGCTCTGACGCACCCGCTCAGGAATAAGACCTTTTGTGCAGCTGTTTTTGCGGAAAAGCGTCCTTGCCAATCTAGACGCTCTTGCGGAAAAGCATTTGCGGAAAATCATGCCAGTCTAGACGTAGCAAAAGCATTTTTGCAGAAGAACTCTTTCACGAAAGAGTTTTTGTGTGAGAACGCACCAGTGTAGACATAGCCATAGGGTTTTCTGAAATGCTCCCAGTTCCACCATGTAACCAGTGAGACTTGCAGAAAGTGTCTATGGAGGTTAGTCACCAGTGAGCTGGAGACAAGCCTTTGCCCTAGGGCTCTCTTGTGCAAGTTTGCACCAGAATAGCCAATTTCTGCTTCATTCCTCTTTGCTCCCACTGAGCCAGTTCTCAAAGCCTTTTGTTACTTATATGAAGAGCTAATGTTCAGACCAGCCCTTCCACTCCCAAACAAAAGTGTATCCCCACTCCTGTGTGTGCCATATTTAGATTAGCCTAAATAATTTGCTGTACCCACAGCTGCTCAAACTAACCCTGACCCTACTAGTCGTGGCATTGGATGCCCCCAGAAACACACTAAAACCTAGCCCCAATGCACTCCCAGCCTCTCTGCCCCCCGCGGCAAGCAGGGGAGACCCGGGATTGGGAGTCCCGTTCATGCAGCAGTGCAGCAGGCACACGCCGCATGGCGGAGTGACTCTGGGTGCTGGGGTATTTTAGCACCTCCATAGGTTGGCGCCCCAGGCACCTGCCCGGCTAGCTTGCCCCTTAATCCGGCCCTGGTCATCGGCTGCACAGTGAGTCCCTGTGGGCCGCATGTTGTGCAGGCCTGATGTAGAGCCTTGAAAATGTGAGGATCAGGCGTTTAGGGTATGTCTAAAATCAATGGTTGCAAATATACAAATAAAATGTTACTGGTCCACCAAAAGCCCCGGCCTCCAGAGTCCCCCAGTGCCAGCCCTGACCCCTAGAGCACCCCCCCCACCCCTCGACTATCTTCTAGTGCCAGCCACCGCCCCCCGAATTCCCTTGATT